TAACAGTAGTAACAAATAATAAAATAGGACAATTATAACAATATACTCTTATAAAAGTCATGTCACTGGGGTCTTGCTCTCTCTGAGAGTGTTATTGTGCCGTACTCACCCGTCTTCCTGTGATGATGTGAGATGATAAATTGCCTAAGTCATGAGATGAAGTGAGGTGAATGATATCAGCATTGTGATGTAGTGTTAGGCTACTCTTTTCTTTTCTTTTTTAAGATTTTATTTATTTATTTGACAGAGAGAGAGAGAGAGAGATCGCAAGGAGGCGGAGAGGCAGGCAGAGAGAGGAAGGGAAGCAGGCTTCCTGCCGAGCAGAGAGCTCGATGTGGGGCTCTATCCCAGGACCCTGGAATCATGACCTGAGCTGAAGGCAGAGGCTTTAACCCACTGAGCCACCCAGGTGCCCCAACTTTTTAAAAAAAACCTAATTCGGGGCACCTGGGTGGCCCAGTGGGTTAAAGCCTCTGCCTTCAGCGCAGGTCATGATCTCAGGGTCCTGGGATCGAGCCCCACATTGGGCTCTCTGCTCCGCGGGGAGCCTGCTTCCTCCTCTCTCTCTCTGCCTGCCTCTCTGCCTACTTGTGGTCTCTGTCTGTCAAATAAATAAATAAAATCTTAAGGAAAAAAAAAACCTAATTCATCACCTTCAGAGGATGATGGGGAATCAATTCATTATTTTGAAAAGTGATATATGAAGGTAAAAAGAATCAAACACTTGTCTTGCCTTTCTTATATGAACATGCCCGTGGGTAGCCAAATGGGATGCAAGGAGAAGCATCTGGCAAGGGAAGAATTCTAGCTTGTTAGTGAGGAAGAGAGGCTAGGAGGACATCACTATGGTGCAACCCCAGAGAACTGCTACGTCAACGGCTGCTAACCCCACGCTGGATAGACCATCAGAATGTGGGGGTTCTGGTGGGAGACCCTAGCACACCCCATAGTTGTGCCAAAGGAGTAAACCTGAGTCTGACCCCAGTTCCAGACCCAGATGTCAATTTGCAGGGAATGTGGAGGACGGAGGGACGCAAGTGTGGGATCAGCAACACCCGGACCCTGGGAAATGCTCCAGAACAAACAGCATGAGTTGAGCAATTGATTTATTGGAAGGGAAAGAATGGGATGATGGGGAAACACTGTGAATTAAAAGAGACTTAAAAGATATATAATTTCCTTTTTGGATGTGCAAGACGAAACTACTGTGTTTGCAGACCCTGCTTGGGTGACAGACTATTCAGAAACACAAAGCAGGGATTATTACCAAAGTCACAACAGCTGGTTACTTTGTGGAGAGAAGAGTCACTGGGATGGGGACGTGGGGCATCGAGGGACTTCTGGGGTCGCTGATGACGTGCTACGTGTGGACCAGGGTGCAGGTTATCATGATGTTCACCTGCGAGCTGGGTTTCTCAAACTCAGCTCTTTTGACATTCAGGCCAGATCATTCTTTTTTTTTTTTTTTTAAGATTTTATTTATTTATTTGACAGAGAGAGATCACAAGTAGATGGAGAGGCAGGCAGAGAGAGAGAGAGAGAGGGAAGCAGGCTCCCTGCTGAGCAGAGAGCCCGATGTGGGACTTGATCCCAGGACCCTGAGATCATGACCTGAGCTGAAGGCAGCGGCTTAACCCACTGAGCCACTCAGGCGCCCAGGCCAGATCATTCTTGAGGGTGTGTGTGTGGGTGCTCTGTCTATCACAGGGTGTTTGGCAACATCCCTGACCTCCACCCACTAGAAGACCATAACAGCTCTTCCCCGCCCCACCATGACAATCCAAAAGTGTCTCCCAGATATTGTTGGATGTCCCCTAAGAACAAAATCACCCCTGGTTGGGAATGCCCTCTTCAGTACCTCCAAAGGCAATGCATTTGTTTTGTGTGGGTTCCTGCATCAGACTCTGTGTGTGTATGCACTTTATTTCACAATAGAAATACATTCAGGGACTCTTGGGTGGCTCAGTTGGTTGAGCGTCTGCCTTTGGCTCTGGTCATGATCTTGGTCATGATCTCCAGTCCTGGGATGGAGCCTCTGCTCAGCAGGGAGCTGGCTTCTCCCTCTCCCTCTTCCTGCTGCTCCCCCTACTTGCTCTCTGTCTCTGTCAAATAAATAAATAAAATCTTAAAAAAATACTTTTAAATTTCCAATGGAGTTTTCATGGGAAACTCAACAGACATCTACAGGGGGAAAGAAAAATCTAGAAAAAAAAAAAAGACAATGGAAATATCCCAGGAATTTTGTAAAAAGAGGACTACCAGATATTGAGCCGTATCCTAAAGCTACAGTAGTTAAAGCAGACTGGCACTGGGACGAACAAGACAGATGAATCTAGAAGTACCGTGAGCTCCCCATCTGTGAAGCTTTGTACTTCTCCTTTGCCTGTGTAGTTTATCCCTTTTGGAGCACAATTCTCTAAGTGTCCCCACTGCCGGCTGCCTCCTTGAACCCTGAAAGTCAGGGATTTGCCCCTCCCTTTTCCTCCCATCCCATTCTGTCACCCTCTTACCATAAACATTACCTTGAAAGTCTATCTCTGCCTCTCAGCATTGTGGCCCAGGATGGCAGGCATTGTGACCCCTCAGGGGCCCGCACAGTGCCTGGTGTATGTTAGGTGCTCAATAAATGCTAAATGAATCGGGAAATGGGTTAAAGAATTCAATCTTATTTAAAAATCATTCAACAGGGGTCTCTGGATGGCTCAGGCAGGAGAACATGCAACTCTTGATCTCAAGGTTGTGAGTCAAAGCCCCATGTTGGGCATGCGTTCTACTTTAACGAAAAAAATTTAAGAAGTTAAAAAAAATTAACAAACATTTATTAAGCACCTACTGTGTGCCAGGGGCCTTGGATGAAGCAGTGACCAAAATCAATCAGTTCCCTGTCCTATGGTGTTGACACTTTAGAGGCAGAGATAGATGGCAAGCAAGTAAACAAAGGACAGAGATTCTTTTTTTTTTTTCAGATAATGAAAGTAGCTATCAAGTTAATAAAACAGAGCAATGGGAAAGACAGAGGCTGGAGGCGGGCCACATTAAGCCCTTAGAGCCGGGAACACACAGGTCGAGTCATCCAGAATAGAAGTTGCCCATGGGAACATGTGCAGGGAAGAACAGTTCAGAAAGATGGGACAGCTTGTGCCAAGATCCTGTGGTAGGAAAGAGCCAGGGTATTGGTACCTCACCCAGACACTGGGACATGAGCATCAGTCTTTCTAGCTTCCACCCAAAGGCTCTTCCAAACACACAAATCCCATCGGGTTAGTCTCTTGCGGTCTTCCCATGGCTCCCTAGCTCCCAGTGGATCAAATCCAAGCTCCTCGGTCCTGCGCTGGGAGGAATTTGGCCGTCCCCCACCGCTCGCCCCCGCCCCCTACCTTCTCCTCCTTGCCAGCAGGCGCACGGGGACAGTCACTTCAGGCCCCGCCCCCAGCCCCGCCCCAAACTCAGTCCAGACCAGCACCGCCTACCCCCGTCACCATTGGACAGCTCGGAGAACATCGGGCGCTGACTGGCTGGTGTCGCCATCAGTTAGGACCGAGGCCTTGATAACCCGTCCCCGAGCTTCGAGGGGGCGGGCTCGGGTGCGGGCGCGGCGGGGGCTGCGGCTTCAGGTAAAGCGCCAATTTTCGGGGCCATCGATGGGGGTTTTGGGGGGAATTAGTGGGCGTACCAGAAAGAGGTACTGCGCCTCCTGCCCTTCTGCGGGCTCAGTGCCCTGTGATGGGGCGGGCTTGATGTCCTCTGGCTGGGACCCCTCCCGCACAGGGAGCCCCAGGTGGGCAGCGAGCAGAGTTGGGGACTCTGGACTCGGGAGATGACCCTCCTCCCGCCCTTAAGAGCCAAGTGGGGGGCTTGTTCACCCTGTAGCGCCCCAACCGACTCCGGGACTTTCCCGGCGACGCTCCTGGAGAGCTTGGGGACCTAGTTCCAGTCCCTCATTCTGGACCTGGGTGTGGGGGGTGATACGGAAACGGGGTTGGGGGGAGGGACGGACGGCCCCCGGGCGGGCAGACAATGGGTAGCGGATGGAACCGCCCGGCGGCGTTTCCTGCAGGAAACTGCTCTGTCTCTACGAGGCTGTCTTGTGGGGTGTGTGTGTGTGTGTGTGTGTTGGGGGTGGGGGTGGGGGTACCTGGAGGGAGAGGTATCTCCCCCTCCCACCATCATCAGCCTCCACGCCCACGTCAGGGGTCTGAGAATCCAGCTCCAACTTTAGGGGATGCTACCATTCAGGGCCTCAAGCCTGGAAGAACCCCCCCCATCCCCAGGACCGGGATCCGCGCTACCCGCCGAGTCCCCCACCCTGCAGGTTTCCTGATCGCAACTCCGAGTCCCGAAATAGTCCCTGGGGCGGGAGCGGGGGCGTATGGCGTCGGCTCTGACGGCCTAATGAGGGGGTCTTAGGCAGAGGATCCGATCTAGCTGACATCTCCTGCAGGGAACGGAGAAGAGGGGAGGGCAGCCGCGCCCCCACTCTGGTGGGGCTGCGGCCGGCCCCTGGAGCCGCCGCGCCGTGGGCCTGCCTCTTCCCCTCTTAGGGAAGCACGCAGGGATAGGCAGGGATGCAGGCTGGGAGGGATGAACCCCATCGGGCTCTCTGCCACTGCCCTGCAGAAGAGGGCTGCTTCTAGAAGGCCATCAAGTGGGTGGCCAATGCAGAAACACTGGCAAAACCGCCTGCGTTAAAATCCTGCCTCTGCCCATGAGTGACCTGGGACGGGTCCCCTAATATCTCTGGGTCTCGGTTTCTCCATCTGTGCAGTAGGGTAAAGGGTAATGATAAGAAAACCTCCCTCAGAGTGTTTAGCTAGGATTTTTTTTTTTAAGTTAATACCCACAAATTGCTTGAGTAGAGAGTGACGCATAGTAAATGGCAAAAGTGTTGTTGTTGTTGTTATTATTATTATTTATCATTCTTGAGGCATCATTTCTCACCCTAGCGCCTGGGTCCGACTGCTCTAGTTGATTGGGGTCTTAGGGACGGCCCACAGCTGTTTTTTGTTTGTTTGTTTTTTTGTTTTGAATTTTTTTTAAGTTCCCAGGACCTCAAATTTGGGTGTGACGAGGTCACCAGAGGAGGGGGCTGAGCCCATTGAGTCACAGTGCCAGCTGTGGGAGGCGGGCCCAGACCCCTAATCGGTCCAGGTTTTTTTCCACGACTCAACTCTTCCCTGGCAGTTTCCTGAAAACAAGTTGTGTGAGCACAGGCCGTCCTCCCTGATGACCGGCTGCCCTGCTGGCCTGCCCCTCTCTGCCGGTGTAAGGGGACAGGAAACAGCTGCTTCAGGACTGGAAGGGGCCCTGCCTGCCTGGGGGTGGGGTGAGGGAGGTTTTAGGGACACAGACTGGGCATAGGTCCGGAGTGGCAGGGTCCCCCCAGCAGTGGAGCAGGGGATATTCAATGGCTGGTGGGTGTCGGGGTACAGAGGTGGTCATCAGAAGTGTGGGAGGTTAGGAGGGGCGATGGCAAAGGTTGCCAGGTGGTTGGCACATAGAGCACTGGGTCAGGGAGAGGACAGATGGGTCCGGCAGACCCCTGGTGGTGGAGGCTCGGTGGGCAAAGGGTCCCCGGAAGATGGGCAGAGCCCAGTCTGAGGGCATTTCCCGCAGAGAGCTGACCTGGTTGCTCTGTGCCTTAGTTTCCCCATCTGGAAAATGTGAATGATAATATCCACCTTACACAATTGTATGGGGCTTGCATTTAATCAGGCAGGGCATACAGTAGGTACTGAAGACAGCTTTCCCTTCCTCAAAGGTTTTTCGTGTGAGCTCTTCAAAGCCCCATTTTCCCTGCCCTGTGCTTTCTGATTGTCCCTGTTAATTACCACATGAGATGTGGCCCACCGTCCCTCGGTTTCGTAGAGCCTCCATCATGTTTCCCGAAGAGTCCCCCCAGCCCCAGGTATAGCCACAGTTCTGACAACCTGGGTGCTTATAGTTCCATTACAAGCTCCTACGAGCCAGGAACAGAACCCTGTGGCACTCCACTAGAGACATCCTAGGGAGAAAGGTCTCCACTGATTTGAATCCTTGGTACATCTGGCCCACGACTCTCCATCATGACGACAAGGCTCTCGCAAGTGACCTGGTAAAAACTCAGAGGCACAATTATATCTTGTCTGCATTTCTTTAAGGAAAAAAGATTCAAGTGACCCTGCATTTGTCCCTTTTTTAATATGCAGAATCTGACCAGATGAATTTCTACGGAGCCCATGGAGGGCTTCCAGCTCTCACCTTCTTCTTCTGAAGGTTCACACCTCATCCCTTAGAGCACCAGCTTCTAATTTTGCTCTGGGACTGACACAGCTTGGCAGGTCTGGAATGACCCTTCCCAGCCCCCACACCTAGTCACTCATGCTCTCTGATGACTGTCCTCTCTTCTTGGTGCCCTTCCTGCCTCCTCCTCCCCAGCACGCTGAGGCCTGGACCTGGGGACGCCCACATTCATTCATTCTGAAGTTCCAAGGCCTCTTGAAGGATCAGGGAGGACAGGACATATGTGTGTGGGAGGGTGGATGAGGGTCTGTTTACTCACTTAGAGTTCCAGCCGACTCCAGAGGGATGGGGCCAGCCCCAGCCTCACCCCCTCTGGGGACATTTTCCAGGGTGTGTCTGGCAGCTACTCCAGAAAACATGGCCAAGTTTGCCCTGAATCAGAACCTGCCTGGTGAGTGTGCAAAGTGGGATATGTGTGTGTGCACGGATTGATACGTGGTGCCCATGTATGGACACAGCCCTGTCGTTCCCTCCATTGCACGTGGCCAGAGAGCCCTTTCTAAAGGTCCATTGATAATGTCATGCTCTGCTTCAACCCTGCCTGTGGTGGTCTATCACATGTGTAATATAATCGCAACTCCTCATTGTGGCCTGGGAGGCCCCCCACTATCTGGCCCCAAACCACCTCTCGGACTCCTCTCCCTCTCCCTTCTTTCACTCTATTTCGGGTACCCTCACCTCCGTCCACCTCACTGTTAACTCCAGCCCACCCTGCTCACTATATCCTGGGACCTTTGCTCTGACTGTTTCCCTTCAGGAATCTTCTGTCCCCAACTGCTTCCTCCTCCTCGGGTAAGGGCTCAGCTTTTAAGTCCCTTCTGCAGGAAACCAGCCTTGACAATTAGAGCCAAAGTCACGCACCTCCTCCAGTTACTTGTATTTCGTCTTGTTATTATTATGAGCCCTAAGCATCATTTGGAATAATCGTGTTTATTTATCTCCTATCAGAGGACAGGGGTTTGTCTGTCTTGTTCACTCATGTGTCCCCAGCGCCTAGAAAAATTCTTGGCATATAGTAGGTGCTCAGTAAGGGTGGGATTGCTTGACTGGTGCAGATAGGCATTTGGTCCTCGGGTATGCATGCGTGCAAGGGCGGGTGTGTAGGGTTTGGTGCAGGTGGAGTACTGCAGGACTCCTTGTCGTGGGCCCGCGGGGGGAAGCGCTCTATTTGTCCAGTTTCCCCGGGGCGTCCCCTCCCCCAGCGTGACGCCCCCCAAACCCCGTCATGCCTGCAGACCTGGGTGGCCCTCGCCTGTGCCCCAGCACCACTGAGGGCGCCCGCAGCCCGAGCTCGCCCTACTCAGTGGAGACGCCCTATGGCTTCCACCTGGACCTGGACTTCCTCAAGTACGTGGAGGAGCTGGAGCGCGGCCCCACCACCCGCCGCGCCCCCGGCCCCCCGCCTGCGCGCCGCCCCCGTGCACCCCGGGCGGGCCTCGCAGGCGCGCGTAGCCCAGGCGCCTGGACCTCCAGCGAATCCCTGGCCAGTGACGATGGGGGAGCATCGGGCGCACTCTCCCCCGGCGCGCCCTCGGGACTCCTGCTGCCGCCGCTGTCGCCGCGCGTGCCCGTGCGTAATCCGCGGGTCGAGCACACGCTCCTGGAAACTAGCCGACGGCTGGAGCTGACGCAGGCGCACGAGCGCGCGCCCAGCCCCGCCCGCGCCGTCCCGCGCAGTCCGCGAGGTTCTGGTCGCAGCAGCCCCGCCCCCAGCCCCGCCTCCAACCCCGCCCCCGCCTCTCCCGGTCCCGCGCAATTGCAGCTGGTGCGCGAGCAGATGGCCGGGGCTCTGCGGCGCCTGCGCGAGCTCGAGGAACAGGCGCGCGCGCTGCCCGGGCTGCAGGAACAGGTGCGCGTGCTGCGTGCGGAGAAGGCGCGGTTACTGGCAGGACGCTGGCCCCCGGAGCCCGACGGGGAGGCCGAGGCGCGCCCGGACAAGCTAGCTCAGCTTCGCCGGCTCACCGAGCGCCTCGCCACCTCCGAGCGTGGCGTTCGCTCCAGGGCCAGTCCCTGGGCCGATGGCCCCGACGGGCCGGCTTCTAGGGGCAGTGAAGGCGCGCTCCAGGCCCCCGACGCAGCCGGGACCCCAGACGGGGCGCTGCAGACGCGGGAGGCTGGCGTCCAGGCGGTGCCGGAGACCCAAGACGCCAGGGCCCAGGCAGTGCCGGAGACCCGGGAGGCTGGCGTGGAAGCGGCCCCCGAGACCCTCGAGTCGGACGCGTGGGTGACCGAGGCGCTGCTGGGGATGCCCGAGGCCGCCGAGCGCGAGCTGGAGCTGCTCCGCGCCAGCCTGGAGCACCAGCGCGGGGTGAGCGAGCTCCTGCGCTGCCGGCTGCGAGAGCTGGAGGAGGCCCGAGAGGCTGCCGAAGAGGAGGCAGCGGCAGTTGCGGCGGCTCAGCCCCAGCCGCACGAGGCTGCTACCCAGACCCCGTGGGCTTGCGCCGCGAAGGCCACACAGACCGAGACCCCCGCCGAGGACCCTGGCCTGAGCCAGGAGAACCCGAAGGGACCCATGGATGCAGACAGAGCCATGGCCCCTGCGGGTGAGTCCCAAGCCCTGCCTAAGCCCCGGCTTGATGGCTGCTGGACTCGAACTCAGTACCCTCATCTGACCCCCGCCAGGCATCCTCAAATCCATCATGAAGAGGAGGGATGGTACACCTGGCGCCCAGCCCAGCCCTGGACCCAAGAGCCTGCAGTTTGTTGGGGTCCTCAACGGAGAGTGAGCACTTCACCCCTCCCCGTGGCAGCACCTGCAGGGACATAGTCTGGGGTTTGAATCCCAGCTCTGCCCCTGACTCGCAGTGTGCTCTTGGAAAGCCTGTTTTCTTCTTCTGTAAAGTGGGGAAACCACTCCCACCGCGCAGGACACAAGAATGAGCCCACAGGGGTGGCTCAGCGGCCGCCTCCCACCCTGCCCCCAGGTACGAGAGCTCATCCAGCGAGGACGACAGCGACAGTGACAGCGACAGCGAGGACGGTGCTGCCGAGCCTCCAAGGAGCAGCTCCTCCGGGGAGGACAGCGGCAGGGATGTTGGGGACGACAGTGGCAGGGATGCCCTGGACCCGGAGCTGGAGCCCGAGCCCGCGCCCGAGCTGGAGGCAGAACCTCAGCCTGGTGCGCAGGGGAGGTGAGCGGCGTTAGGGACACAGTGGGGACCGCTGCTTTCTTTCCTGTCTGCCACGCACCCCACCTCCCACTCCTCCTGAGCGTCTCCCTACCACCTTGATAGGTGCGAGCTGAGCCCGCGTTTGAGGGAGGCGTGCGCAGCGCTGCAGCGACAGCTGAGCCGACCCCGTGGAATCACCCGCGATGGCGTGAGTGCCAGCCAGAGCCCTTCACACCTGGAGTCGTGGCCCCATCGAGGACCTCCCCTAACGCCCTCTTGGGGAAGTGCATTGGATTTCTTAGAGTTGGGGTGGGGGGCGGTTCCAAGTTCCACCCCTTGGCGCCAAGACTTCTGATCCCAGGCTTTTCAAAGGGATCTCCACCCACAGGGATATCGCTGAAGTGTTCCCTGTTTCCCCCAAAAGGGTGCGCCCCAAGCCCACCCCCATACTCCCCAAAGGCAAGCTCTCACCGCCTTCCTCCACTCTAGGTTCTCCCACAGGCTCTTTCCCAGAGGGGAGGACCCCTGCTGGCTTGAGCCTGGGACCCGCACTGGCTGTACTCCCTCCTCCAAAAGGGTGCGGCCCCACTCACTCCCTCAGACAAGCCGCGACCATCCTCCCCGGCCTCGATTCCCAGCCCCGCCCCCACGCCCTCCCCGCCACCACAGCCTGGACCATCTCTGACGTCTTTCCTCCGGTCCCGGCAGGGCGCGGCGCGCCTAGTGGCCCAGGAGTGGTTTCGAGTGTCGAGCCAGCGGCGCTCTCAGGCAGAGCCCGTGGCGGGGGTCCTGGGCGCGGTGGCGCGCCTGGGACCTGAGCTCCTGGTGCACGTGGTGAACCTGGCCGATGGCAACGGGAACACAGCCCTGCACTACAGCGTGTCCCACGGGAACCTGGCCATCTCGAGCTTGCTGCTGGATACCGGTCAGCACCTTCCTCCCAGGGTTAGAGGATCCGTGTGTCCTGGGCAGATTGCCAAGGGCCTTTAGGCCTCTCTGCTTTGAGCTCTCCACCCGGACCCTGCCTCTCACTTTGCCGAATACCCGGCTTTAAAGTTAGGTTGACCTAAATTTAGAGGAATTAGTGTCACCAGCCTTACCTTCCTCATCTGGGAAATGGGGCTGCAACTCCACATTTTACCCATTTCTATCTCCTGCCACTTGCTTGCTCATTCTCTCCCCAGCTTTCCCCCTCTGGAGCTGAGATACACACACCCAGGTGTTCCCAAGCCCACAGACATACATTGAAAGCCTACTAGGTTCCAGTACCGTGCTGTGGTGGGGGTGGGCCACCCACATACAGCTACTACTTTCCGCAGGGGACTCACAGCAGAGGGGACAGAGGGCAGTAGACAGACTGGATGTCATCCTTCAGGTCCAGTATCTGCCGGGGCCTGTCGTTGGAGGGTCTTACTGTCACGGCAGGCCCAGGCAGGCCCCACTGTTTCCTCCCCGGCCCCAGTGCCCCCAGACACACAGGTCTGTCCCATCTCTGAAGATCTTGGTGACCTGGGGAAGGGTACAGTTGCTCTGAGCTGGACCGGGAGCTTGAGCTTGGGAGGGAAGAACAATACATGATTCAAGGCATCTCCTCCCTTCAAGGGAGCTGGGGCGGGGCTTCAGCAACCAGCAAGGCAGGCTTGGCTGTCGGTCACAAGCAGCCCCGAATCTCCCAGACCCATTTAATTCCTTGCATTCACGCCAGTCCCCCAAGCTCCAGCTCCCCAGACCTCGCCCTGGGCCTTCTAATTCTCACATCGATCATTCCCTCTGCCCTTCTGCCTGCTGTCAGGTCCCTCCCCTGCCCCAGGACCCTGAGTCCTCAACGTACTCCCCACGTCGGGTTTGTTCCACACTGGGCTGGACGTGGCTGTGTATCCTTGCCCCTCATCCACCTCCAGACCATTCCCCCTTCAGCCCTACCTTGGAGCCTCCAATCCATCAGACCCCTATTCCCTCCACCCCTTCTGGCATCTCCCTCCAAACACAGGCCACTCTTCCTTCCTCTCGCGTTCTAGCTGTGGGTCAGCAGCTCCTCTTTGCAGGCGAATCCTCCCCAGTTTCAGGATCCTCATGAAGCATCACTCCCACCACCTCCAGGCTTCTCAGTTCCTTGACCTCCTTGCTCCTCCTTTCACCTTGACCTCCGCCCTACATCAGCTTACACTTGTAAGGTCACCGGAAGATCTTGGTATCACTGATAACCACGCCCCCTCCAGTCTCCTGTCAGCTCTCCAGCTGCCCGGCCCTAACAGCCCTTGGCCATCACAGGACCATTGTCTGTTTCTCCCCCTGCCTCCCCATCAATGCCGGCTACATCCCTTGCTTCCTTGTTCGCCCTCATGTCCCTTTTCAAACTCCCCCCCACCCATGGCCCTCCTTCACCTCACTCTACTTGCATGGCAGGCCCCAGCACCGAGCCCCGTAGACCCTCAAGTGTTGGTTCAAAGAATGAGCAAATGCTCACAAATGTATGAGAACGAACGGCTGTGAGCACGTGCATTATGGCGAGACAGGGAGTGGAGATGGACAATTATCACGTCGAAACATGAAATAATTACAAATAGGGAGGGTCACAACAAAACAAAACTAAAGGAAATCAAATGGAGTGATCCTTTGGCTTAGGAAGGCCTCAGGTAGGAGGGGAAAGGAGAGGGCAGGGGAAGATGGGTACCCCTGCTACCCAGCAGAGGCCCCACTCTGGTTGTTTCTATGTGCCCCTCCCCACTCCAGCACACTCCACCAGCGTCACAGCAGTTTGTGGGGGCAGTGAACACCTACAGGGCATGCTGCAGGACTAGGAAACCCACCGTACTCCTTTCCATACTACTTAACCCTTTTTCTTCCCAGACCATTGTTTGAGTCCCTCTCTACAGGGTATCCACTCCATGACCCTGATCCAAGCCTCAGACCTCCCCAAGCTTTTGTAGCCTCATGGAACTTTCCAAACAGTGGGGGACAACAGCAAGTCACTCTGCTAACTGTGCCCAGAGGAGATGCTGTGATGGCTGGTCACGATCATCCTCGGGGATGATCCCAAAGGAAACAGAGCCAGTGTTCATGTTCAGTGCTCCTTCCCTGAGCTGCTGTAACAAAATAGCACAACGTGGGTGGCTTAAGAAAACAGAAATTCATTTTCTTGTAGTTCAGGAGGCCCAAAGTCCAAAATCCAGGTTGGCAGGCCTGGTTCCTGAGGAGCTCCGAGCAAGCAATCTGCTCCAGGCCTTTCTCTGAGCCCCCGGCTGCCGCCTGCCATCTTCTGCATCCCGTGGGCAATGGCAGCTTCTCTTCTCTGCCTTTGTCTTCACGTGGTCTCTTGCATGTCTCTGGGTCTCTTCTAAGGACACCAGCCACACTGGATTAGGGCCTACCCTCATGACCTCACCTTAACTTGATTACATTTGCCAAGACCCCATTGCCAATTAAGGTCACATTCGCAGGTACGGGGTAGGTAGGACTTTGTAGCTCTGGGGGTAGGACATAACTCAATATGTAACACAGTCTTGGAGAAGGGGTTCCAGAGGAAGGGACATTAGTTAGGGGACAGCTGCAGAAGCCACGGTGGACAGTGGCCTGTATTCCAGGAGCAATGGGGAGATGTGAGAGTGCCTTAAATAGGTGACCTGGCCGAATTCCTCTTCATCTGCATGGGAACGAGTGGATTTGGACATAAAGGGGAACCAGCTGACATAGCTTTTTTTAGTTTGTTTTTTTGGGGGGGGGGCAGCAGGGGCAGAGGCAAACTCTTAAGTTCCACTCCCAATGCAGAGCCTAACACCAGGCTTGATCTCACCACCTGAGTCAAAAATGAGTTGGATGCTTAACTGACTGAGCCACCCAGGTGCCCCAAGTTAACATAGTTCTTGGGGTGGGGTGGGCAATGTTATTGGCTTGGTGGATGATAGCCACAAAAATAGGAACACTGGTTTTTTGAGGATGTACTATGGGACAGGTGTTAGGTCTGGGAGATACAGCAGAAAGCCAAGTCTGAACCAGCTTGAAATACAGAGATTTGAGCAGACCCTGAAGGGCATGGAGCCATGTGGTTCTTGGCAGGGAGAGCCTAAGAGGCAGAGGAAATAGTAAATTCATGACCAGTGACCACCCCCCTTATACTGGCGGCAAACCTGTTGTGTGTGTGGGGAGGGGAGTAAACCAGGTTGGGCTGAGGGTGTCAGCATCTTGGCTCACTGACCCCCTCCACTCTCCCAGGGGTCTGCGAGGTTGACCGCCAGAATCGGGCTGGCTACACGGCCCTCATGTTGGCTGCACTCACCTCTGTGGGGCGAGAAGAAGACATGGCTGTGGTTCAGAGACTCTTCCACATGGGCAACGTTAATGCCAAGGCCAGCCAGGTGCGTGGACACTTCTTCCTTTGCTCCCTGTCTAGTGAGGTCACTTCTGGGTTTGTCTCTGACCTCCCTTCCTCCAGTGCCGCTCCCGCACAACCCTTTCCCCTTCTTTGTCCCCAGACAGGACAGACAGCCCTCATGCTGGCCATCAGCCACGGCCGCCAGGACATGGTGGCAGCCCTGCTGGCATGTGGGGCAGATGTGAATGCCCAGGATGCGGATGGGGCCACAGCGCTGATGTGTGCCAGTGAGTACGGGCGCCTGGAGACTGTCCGGCTGCTGCTGGCCCAACCAGGCTGTGACCCGGCCCTCCTGGATAATGTGAGCCACCACGGGGCTGATGTGGGGATGGCAGGGGAGCCATGCCTTGGTTCAGGGACCTGACTGTTCCCACTGTCCCTCAGGAGGGCACCAGCGCCCTGGCCATTGCCTTGGAGGCCGAGCAGGATGAGGTGGCTGCACTGCTGCATGCGCACCTGAGCTTGGGCCGGCCGCAATCCCCGGTGAGTGCAGCCCCTACACTGCAGGGACCAGGCCCCCCTGCCACACGCTGGCTTCAGAGAGCATACCAAGTGTGCCCTGGGAAGGAGGCCTCCTTTCCACCTTTCCTGGGGAAGCACCCAGGGTCAGGGGAACCTGGGTTTGACCCCTTGCATGTGGCTGAGGTTCCCCCTGCAAAATACCTGTGAGACGCACCTCCATGTCACAGGTCACGAGCCCAAGGTCTCCAGAGGGGAAGTGATCTAAGATCAGGTGGAAGCTGTTAGACCTAGCTCCCACTTTCCCTGTCAGGGGACTCCTGCTACCGCCCCCAAGAGGCTTCCACCACAGGGGAATCCTGCCCACGGGTAACTGACAGGACCCCTCCCCCACCTCTCCCCAGTCACCCCTTGAGTCCCCCACAGCTGTGCCTGGTGAAGGAGAACACAGTGACCATAAAGAAGACCCCCAGACTCCGTGAGCAGCTTGGCACCCTGGACCTGGATTGGGAGAGAGTCCGTTCCTTCCTCCACCCCAGCCTCTGGGGCACAGCAAGGACCAGGGTTTGCTATCCAGATGCTACCGTGGGCCAAGAGAAAGGCTCAGATGACCCAGTGCTCAGGAGGGGCTCACTTTGGACCAGTGGGGTGAGGAAGGGGCTGGAAAGTGACAAGGCCCCTGAGTCCACCCACTTGCAGAATAAAATATTACTAACTCAACTTGTGTCTTGTTTTGGGGGCACATACACATAGTTCCCCCTCCCCCCAACTCACTAGAGGCCAAAAGGTGGGAGAGGTTCCCTCTAGAAGATTTTATAAGCCTTTCTCAGAGCCAGACAAATGATTTATTAACATATGCAGATCATCCCTGTGAGCAAGCGGCTGACCCAGATATCCAGGACCCTGTAAACAGACCCAAACATGAGATACTGAGGGGCCGTCCAGCAACTCCCTCCCCTGACTTCCAAATCTCAGTAGCCTCTTTCTACACTTCCCACCCCAAGAGCCTCTCACCCCATGGATTTGGGAAGCCTCCCTACTACCACCAAGGAACGGTCTAATAGGCCTGCCGATCCCCACCCCTGTCCTGCACTCACCAACTCCAAGTTCAGCGTAACCTCCGAGCTTCTCGCTCTGACTCCAATAGGGTGAGCACGTCGCCCTCGCGCACGGGGCCTTTCACGTTGCGGATGATGGAGCGGCTCGTGTCGTCCATGAACTCCACGCGCACCTACGGGGCCCAACGCGAGGACGCCAACGAGTCAGGGAGAGCCGCAGATAGGCACCGCGGGCTGGGCCACAGGTTTCGATTCAAAGGACGTGTTGGGACCCACCCAGAGATATTTTAAAAGGGGGCTGCGCTTGAGAGGCAGAGCAGAGCCAGGAGAGAAACCCGAGAGAGCCAAGTCGCGGAACACAAAGTTCTCGAGCGGGAAGAGCAGCCGCCAGGAGGGACAGCTGCAGCTCTGGTCCTGTTCGGGAGAGGGACACACTCAACAGGGTATAGAGCCACAAAGAGGTCGCTGGGACGGGCTAAGCCACGAGAAAGAGGAACGTCAGAGTCCTAGGATATACGGACTCCGGTTTTCAGTCCTGGGGAGTCCCCACCCGCGTGCTCACCTGTGTGCACTGTCCCTGCGAGCCGGTCCTGCCCAGAACTTTGGTAACCTAGCGGAGAGAAGCTGGGATCAGACCTGGGCAGCCCGAGCCCCCCACCCCATCTCTCTTCATCCCGGGCCCCCAAAACAGGACTCCCCACTTCACCCTGGCCAACTTGATGGGCTGCACACGGCTCGTGTCCATGATGGCGGCGCGGCTGCGGTCGGGCGGAGAGGGGTCACGTGCTTCGAGGAGACCTTTTATAGTACATCCTAGCCCCGCCTGCCCACCCTCTCGCGAGATCGCGTACGTTCTTCCCAGCAGCCCTCGCGGTAGAGACGTCACCGGCGTCCTTCAGAGCAAACGGAAGATGGCGTCCGCCACTCGCTTCATCCAGCGGCTGCGGAACTGGGCATCGGGGGTGCGCGGGGCGGAAGGGGCCAAACGGGGAGGCTGAGGGTTGCGTGCACCTTGGACCCGCTCCCGCTAGTCCCCTTCTTCCTGCACCCTTGGGCCTGAGGCTTTTACTACCGAGATCCCCATAGGTCGGAACCCGTGTCTCAGCCCGAGACCCCCAACTCGTGACTGCTTCAGCAAACACAGCCCCCTCCACCCCAGCCCTGGACCCATTCTGGACTGAGCTCTGTCTAGTCCCGGACCTTCTTAGCTCTGTATTTTGAGGCCCCGGCCTTCGCTTTTCTCTTCACCTCTAGGGCCCACATCCCTGTACCATTTCCGTCCGACCTTCCCTTCTCCACTCCTGGGATGCCTTGTTCCCTCGCTCTCTCCTCTCCTGGAGGACCCTGCGGGTTGACTGCCTTTCTCCCCCCCCCCCCCCACCCCCCAGCACGATTTGCAGGCGAAGTTGCAGCTGCGCTACCAGGAGATCTCCAAGCGGTGAGCAAGCCCCGCTCGCTGCCCACACTCTGGCCTTGTCCTGTTATTCTTTTTTTCTTTTTTGAAGATTTTATTTATTTATTTGACAGACAGAGATCACAAGTAGGCAGAGAGGCAGGCAGAGAGAGAGGGGGAAGCAGGCTCCCCGCTGAGCAGAGAGCCCGATGTGGGGCTCAATCCCAGGACCCTGAGATCATGACCTGAGCCAAACAAAGGCAGAGGCTTAACCCACTGAGCCACCCAGGCGCCCCTTTGTCCTGTTATTCTTAACATGGGGAACAAAATGCGTTTTCCTTTAGGCCCCGGGTTTGCTGGGCGGGCATCTTGCCTCCAGTCCCTGGCAGGCTGTGGAAGCAGAGGTTTGCTTTTATCTTTCCTGTACTCACAGCCGGCAGCTGGTGGAACGGTCAGGTTGGACATGAATTCAGAGTGGGGATTGTGTAGCTGTGGAGTCCTCAGTGTGGTCCTGCCAGTTAGGGTTATCATCCCCAAGCTACAAATGAAAAAGTGTGAGTTTCAGAGAGACAATAATTTTCTTCAAGTCACTCAGAAGCTAGAAAGTGACAGCTGGGATTTGAACCCAGAAGTGGCGTGATTCCAAACTCATTTAAAATGTACAAAAATTACTTAATATTTACAAGCCCCTGCCATGTCCTCAGGGATACCAGGACCAAGAAGAAAAGTTATTATCCCCATTCCTTTCACGGAGCTCAAGTTCTAGAAAGAGAAAAATATAGTAGGGAAATAAATGCAACAGGTAAAGAGCATTCTGGAATGCTCTGAAGACAGACTAAATTAGAGTCAGCTGGGGGTGGCTACATTAGGTCAAGTGATCAGGAAAGGTCTTTTTTTTCTGGAATTGACATTTGAATGACCTCAGTAATGAGCCAAACGGTTATGATTGAAAGAACATTCTGAACAGAGGGAACAGTATGTGCCAAGGCTGTTGAGGCCCGTCAGAGCCAGAAGTAGGAAGGAGGTCTGTGGCTGGAACAGTTGGAGGGAAGGAGGGATATCAGTATATTGGAAGTCCGAGGAGGAGTAGGCGAAGGTAAGGCAGCCATTGAGAATTAACACGAAAGGAAGACAACTAGCATTTGAATAACCAAACTTATGCGAATGTCTCCCTGTTAAAACTAATCCCAAATATCAGAAGTTTGAAGTTGATTTCTCTCCAGGGTAGTTGGTAGGCCAGTTGAGGAAAAGGGTTTATAAAGTTTACAACCTCTGTAGGGTCGTGGCGCCCCCTAGTGATTCCTGTGTGTCTCTTGTGCATGCGGTTCTTAACCCTTCTGCTAGGTGGCAGAAAGCTATGGCCAACCCACCAGGGGTGGGGGGGTGTCATCTGCACTCTAGGGGTTAAGCAAATTCTAACTGCCACACGGGATAGTGCCTCCCCCTTTTTAAGATTTTATTTCTAAGTAATCTGTACACCAAACATGGTGCTTGAACTCACAACCCAGAGATGGAGAGTCACACGCATGGGGCGCCTGGGTGGCTCAGTCATTAAGCGTGTGCCTGTGGCTCAGGTCATGACTCCAGAGTTGTGGGATCGAGCACACCCCCCACCCCCCACCCCCACATTCGGCTCCCCCGGCTCAGCGGGAAGCCTGATTCTCCCTCTCCCACTCCCCCTGCTTGTTTTCCCTCTCTGGCTATGTCTGTCAAATAAATAAAATCTTTAAAAAAAAAAAAAAAAAAAAAAAAAGCGTCGCACGCACCACTGACCAAGCCAGCCAGGTGCCCCAGAATATTGCTTTTACTCATTTACTCTAAAGATCTGATTGATTGATTGATTGATAGCGAGCGTGCACACACGTGTGAGCTGAGGGAAGGGCAGAGGCATACTGAGCGCAGAGTCTGATGTGGGGATCCTGAGACCATGACCTGAGCCAAAACCAAGAGTTGGACACTTAACCGACTGAGCCACACAGGTGCCCCAGGATATTGCTTTTAATATCAAATTTTTATATTTTTATATATTTTTTTCATTTTTTTAATATAATGGCTGTTATTTGTTTTCAGAAAAACTTAAATCCTGGCAAAACAGCTAACCAATTATTGTAAATTAATTAATTAAACCAATTACTGTAAAACATGGTTGAATGAAAACCCGGTGATTTTATGATTTCTCCTATTTTCTCTGCCTCTCCTCTCTGCTGTGTTTTCTGGGGAGGCTTCTCTCTTGTTTTGAGGTTAGCATTTCCATTTTACGCTCCTGGCTTCTTTGTAAATTCACCCTAGGTTTTAGCCCAACCCAGGGCAGAGCTCTGATCACTCGTCCAGCCCTGGCTATAGTGTTGGTGACCAGGCAGGAAATGCAGAGACCTCAGAGGACAAGGTGCTCTTTGAGTAATAAGCCTTGATCCCAGTAGGGTTCTTCAGAGTTCCTGAGATAACGGGAAACCCAGGAGTTCTGTAGCCTGGCTTTTGGGAACAAAGACCCTCAGAACACAAAACACACGAGGTCTGGGGCTGTCCTGCAGCTGGAAGTGAGGCCAGATGGAAGCTTTGGGCCATGGTGTAGTGGGAACAGGCCTGGGGTTCCAATCTGGGCTGCCCCCTTCCCTGAGAAGCCTCAGAAAAGGTCCTCCATACATTTGGGGCATATCTAGGCCTTGCCTTCCAGCACTTTCACACCCGAAGTGTAGACTGCTACCTCCTTCAGGGCCCTGGATCCTGCCTAGCCATGCATCCACGACAGCGGATCAAGGAATTGCCCTGGCCTGCCGCAGTGATGGAGGCGGCCCAGGCCAGTGTAGCCAGGAAGAGTGACTTTATATTAGGGCTGCCTGGGGGGCTCAGTTAAGCGTCCGACACTCGGTTTCCGCTCAGGTCATGATCTTGGGGTCGTGGGATCAAGGCCCATGTTGGGCTCTGTGCACAGTGGGGAGTCTGCTTGAGAATCTTTATGTGAGCGTTTACACTTGCATTCGCTCTCTCTCTCAAATAAATAAAATTTTTTAAAGTGATTTT